CTCAGGCCTCCGTGACGAGGCTGACATCTGATCTTATGTCACCTGCTCTCTGCTCCAGCCCCAGTGGCCTCCTTGCCCTTCCTTGAACACGGGACACGCTCCTGCCCTAGTGCATGTGCACTGGGGGTTCCCTGCCTGGAAAGAGCTCCCCCCAGACCTCCTCTTACGCAATTCCTTCATGATCTTCAAACCTCTCAGAGGCACCTGGGTGAGGCTCCCTCTGATCGCTGTAGTGAAGTAGCCATCGTCCCCGTCCCAGCACGGTGCTCTGGGTTACCTTCCTCAAAGCTCCTGACAACTTCCATGTAAACACTTCCCTTATTACTGCGCTTACACAATACACAGGTCACCTCTGAATGACACTGGTTCGCACGGGGCATGTGCACCTGATACAGGCATGTGCACCTGTATCAGGACTTTTCTACAGTAAGTACTGGCCACGCACTTTCTCTTCCTTATGATTTCTACTATTTTCTCTACCTTCATTCATTGTAAGAACACAGTATATAGTACCTGTAAGATGCAAATGTGTGAAGCGACAGTTCATGTTATTAGTAAGGCTTCCAGTCACCAAAAGGCTATTAGTTCTTATGTTTTGAGGAGTCAAAAGCCGTACTTGGATTTCTGACCGCACGAGGGGGTCACTGCCCCAATCCCCGCATTGCCCGAGGGTCAAGTGCAGTGTGCCCCTTACACTAGAACTAGTCTCCACAAGAGCAGCACGTTTTCCCTCTTCTTAGTCTCACTGAGCTGTCCCAGATGTAAACATAGCGTGTCCTGTATGTGGCACGCGACAATTATCCGGTGAATGAATGAGCAGGTAGAGGACCTCCGTCTTCTATTTTTTTTTTTAAAAGATTTTATTTATTTATTTGACAGAGAGAGACACAGCGAGAGAGGGAACACAAGCAGGGGGAGTGGGAGAGGGAGAAGCAGGCTTCCCGCTGAGCAGGGAGCCCGATGCGGGGCTCAATCCCAGGACCTTGGGATCATGACCTGAGCTGAAGGCAGACGCTCAACGACTGAGCCACCCAGGGGCCCCACGTTTTCCCTCTTCTTAGTCTCACTGAGCTGTCCCAGATGTAAACATAGCGTGTCCTGTATGTGGCACGCGACAATTATCCGGTGAATGAATGAGCAGGTAGAGGACCTCCGTCTTCTATTTTTTTTTTTAAAGATTTTTTTATTTATTTGACAGAGAGAGACAGCGAGAGAGGGAACACATGCAGGGGGAGTGGGAAAGGGAGAAGCAGGCTTCCCGCGGAGTGGGGAGCCCGATGTGGGGCTCGATCCCAGGAACCAGGGATCATGACCTGAGCCAAAGGCAGACGCTTAATGACTGAGCCACCCAGGCGCCCGAGGACCTCTGTCTTCTAGATGCACCTCAGGCTCAGCTGATCTGTGGCAGCTCCTGCCCCCCCAGTGCCCTCTCCTCGCCATCCGGGCTGACTCTCTCTTCTCACAGGGCTGCCCTCCCCTCCTTCTCTCTGCTCAGCCCCCTTCCCCCACACCATGTCTCCTGCACACACAGCCCACAGAGTCCTCTCTTCAGAAACACTGTACTGAGGCTTTTTGGGTCCTTTTCTCCAACCACATAGAAATCTAGTTAGACTCTGCTTTATAAATCCAAGAACTTGGATCGGAGCCGGCACTAGGATCGATGAACTAAGGGTGGGGAGAGAGGACAGAGCAGCAGGGAAGACAGAAACTAACTGAAGCTTAATAAGGATGAGAAACTCAGATTCCTCCTCTCTCTACCTCCAGAATCCAAAGAATTATCTAGAAAACAGCTCTAGAGGGAGGGGAAGACATGGATGAACCTGAAAGTTCATCTATCTCTCCATACCATAGAGCCTGCAGTGTGCAGGGGCCAACCTAGGCCTGTGGGAACCACAGCCCAAAGGACACCCGCTGCTGTAACCAACGGGGTCACCCAGAGGAGAATGGATAAGAACTCGTGCACAAGATCGAGTTGATGCTTGTGATGCTCTAGAGGAACATTGAAAAAAAACACCCAAAAATGGGGGCTATACCCCAACCCAGGCCTGAGCATAGACTGACCCTATCACAGGAAGCTCTTGCTGCACAAGGTCCTGGTGACAGGTGACATCCAAGTCCCTGTGATCACAGGTCCTCGTAAGACAAGTTTCCACAGAAGAGGCAAGGACACGGAACAGAGAGATGACCCAGCTGAGGGGTGAGCACGTCATGCCCATGATGCACTGAGCACCGACTGCCCATAGGCCCTGTCCCCACTCGGCTCCTCACAGCCTTCCCCTGCCCCCACCTGCAACACACTCAGCAGAGCAAACACGCTGATTCTGGAACGTTCTCAGGGCTGCCATTTATTTGCTGTCTCAACTTTACAAATCTCCCCTTTTATTACCTCATCAGCCCCACATGCCAAGAATTAGGAAACACAAACTCATATCTGGATTCTCATTCAATAGGGAAGTAAGTCATTAGTACTTAGCCCAAAATGAAATAAAGACGGTCCAACCCCGCCTCTGCTGGAACAGGAAAGCACATCAGAGAAGACAATGCAGGTCAGTATGGGGAGAGGTCACGGTGGACCAGTCTCCCCACGTCCTCACATTATGCTCATAGGAACACAGACACATCTGACAGGAAACATGATGAACGAGGTATGGGGTCACTGGACCACCTGACTTGCTGGAGGTCTGTCCTTAGCAGGGACCTTCCTCTCTGTCCTGTGACTGCTGGGAATCAGGTCACCATCACCAGAATTATCAAGATGAAAATCTGTCCTTCATTTTCACAAGTGTTTGCTACAGAGTGAGCGTTAGTGGTCAGCTCCAGCGTGGGCAAGTCCATGTGTGTGGATGGTACTTCCCAGTAACAAGGCAGGACAGTCTCCTACCTAGGAAACCCCCCAGAGGGACAAGAAAACTCAGATCCCCCCACTCCTTTCTCTGCCTGAGTGCTTCTTCCTCCCGATCCCAACTCCAATTCCACAGTGACCACAAAGAGAACCACACCAGCAATGATCCAGGTGATGGGGATGGTGGGCTGAGGAGGCGGCTCTGGAAAGGGAAGGGAAAGTGAGGGGCCCGGAACACTGCAGGAGTCCTGACCCTGCTGAAATTCTCCAGAAGGCCTTCTGCTTTCCCTGAGAAGAGGCTGTACCCCAAACCCTCCTTACGCCATCTCAAGGTGATGGGCTCGGGCAGCTCCCCATGCTGCACATGGCAGGTGTATCTCTGCTCCGGTCCAGAAGGCACCACCACAGCCGCCCATTTCTGGAAGATCCCATCTCTTGCAGGCCTGGTCTCCACAAGCTCTGTGTCCTGGGTCAGGTCCATCCCACTGCCAGGTCAGGGTGATCTCCGCAGGGTAGAAGCCCAGGGCCCAGCACCTCAGGTTGACGTCATGGTCAGAGATGGGGTGGCGGTCACTTTTGTGTTGGGGGGTTCTGAAGAAGAATCAGAAAATCCACACTTTGCTTTACCCTTATGGGCCACTGAAACGGCACTTATGTGACAATCCTGAGGTGGATTGGGCCATTGGTTTAGATGGAGGGAGTACAATACCCAGTCACCAATCTAGCCTTTGGGATCTCCTAATCCTTGGAAGTTCTAATAGCAGGGAGAGTGCCCAGGTTAGTAGAGTGTAGGTCTAAGAAAGGGAACACACTAGTGGTGTGAATGCAGTGGATAGTCAATCCTCAGAAATCCAGGAGTCAGATCTCCAAAGACGTTCTCAGATGGAAAGGCCTTGAGAGGGAAAGTCATGGTTGCTAAGGTGGCTGCCACGGTCAAAGGGAATTTCCACCTGCCTCCCGGGAGAGACTGGATTCCTCCACTGCCCTTTAGCGAGAAGCGGCCCTCTGGGTGAGGCCCTCTCTAGTAGGGACATGGACACCGGGGCGGATCTCTGTCTCCCCACCCGTGGGAGGGGCGCTGTTCTGACACTGAGTCCATTTTCCCTTCCTGGTGGGAAGCCAGCCCCAGTGGAGGGGAGATCGGGGAGGCCCCGCGGCCCCTGGTACCTGCGCGCTGCAGCGTCTCCTTCCCGTGCTCCAGGT